TAATAGCCATTGAAGATTCACAAATTGCTGGTGGAGGCAAATTAAAACCAAAATATAGAGGACCTTTTACTGTTCGACAGGTGTTACCAAATGAGAGATATGTTCTGCACAAGAAGGGTCAGAGGACCACAGTTGCTGCCCTTGAACAGCTGAAGCCGTGGCCAAAGGAATAAAAAAATGTAAGTCCTGTATTTAATAATAATAATAATAAAAAGACAAGATAGTAGCAATCCTACTATGCTTGGGAGGTGACTAAACACCTCGGTGAAAGTGGCAATCCCACTGTTGAGGATGGCAAACCCATCCGACAAAAAAAAAACAAGATAGTAGCAGTCCTACTATGCTTGGGAGGTTCCTAAACACCTCTGTGAAAGTGGCAATCCCACTGTTGAGGATGGCAAACCCATCCGACAAAAAAAAGACAAGATAGTAGCAGTCCTACTATGCTTGGGAGGTGACTAAACACCTCGGTGAAAGTGGCAATCCCACTGTTGAGGATGGCAAACCCATCCGACTTTAAATTAGTTTTAATTTAGTTATATTTCAACTTTAAAAAACAAAAATCTGTTTCGGTTTTTCTTTTTGCAGAAATAAAAGAAGAAGAAAAAAAACGGCGCGAGGACGCTCCGAAAACAGGATGGCCGTGTTAGGGTAATCCCCTTTTTACCAAAGTAGGACAGTAGACCAATAAAGGCACGTGTGCCTACTAAGCAAAACAATCTTGGCACAGCTTAGAAATCGAATGGTAACGCAGAGTCCGCAGAACATTTGTAGAAGTCGAATCATAGCAGTTTAATAAATGTAGTTAAAAAGTAATAAATAATAAGTGAAGCCCCATCAAATTAGTTTTATTCAGGGTAAAATACCCTGATGTTTTACATATATATAAATCAATAGTTTAAATAATAAATCAGTTCCAAAACGAATTCCATTTGGTTTTATTTGGTAACTCATCATTATTCATTAAGAACTGGGAGGTGAGCAGCCTTGTACTCGCCCAGTGATTGGTGAATAAACATGGTCACGGTGGTTTCTGTTTAATCTTGTGATTAAACATATTGGCGACTCCACAAGGGCGTCTTGGTTGTCCCGGAGTGTGACCTTCGGGGGTGCTCCGGGTTGTTGTGGTTCGTTGAGCCATTGCCATAAGTACCTGGTTGTACTCTGTCTTCAGCTGTTGAAACTGGTCGTGCAAGGGATTCATGGACTCATCTGCGTGATTTACTCTAACTTTTTTGGCAATTGCCGCTCCCTGGACTGTGCTACCTAGGGGGCCGGTGGCTCGAATGACCATGTTTATTCACCACTTTCTGGACTGTGCTACCAAGGAGGCTGGTGGTTCGAAGGGGTCGTAAATCCTTGTTGTTTTGTTGGCTGGGTGCCTGTAGATTCCTACGTCGCTTGTCTGGGCGTAGGTCACTTGTTTGATATTCCTGGACTGGAGCTATCAAGGGCTGGTTGTTCGAAGGACCATGTTTATTCACCAATCACTGGGCGAGTACAAGGCTGATCCTTGATCTTGCTCACTTCCCAGTTCTTAATAAATAATGATGAGTTACCAAATAAAACCAAATGGAATTCGTTTTGGAACTGATTTATTATTTAAACTATTGATTTATATATATTTCTAAATTGTGACGTGTTTAGGAATTAAAGCAGTGGTACAAACATGTTAATTAATTACATGTAAATATAAAAACGATTAATATTAAATATGTTGATATTGTTTTAGACACTCTGGCGGTCGCTTGGTAGTGAAATGCAGCGTAAGGGATCTTTGTTCTATCACCTGTCGCTAGACGCAAACATTGCATTTCCTAAGCAATTCGCCAATTTTTGCAATAAACTCTAATATTTAATTTTTTTAAATAAAATTAAAAACTACACTCGACCGCAAAATTAACCGGACACTTGATTTTTTCTTAATAAAATTTCTTAAACGCCCTGTATATTGATGTAACAACTATACACACATAAAAAAATATAAGATTAATTTATTCTAAAGTTTTTTAGGCTTTAAAATACGACGATGACATTGTTTTATACATTTTTTATATCTTTAACATTTTAATTGTTTGGAAGAGCTCTTTAATTCATTACTTATTTAAAAGAGCTCTTTAATTAATTTTTATTCCTGTTTGTTTTTGGGATTTTACGGTTTTTCTAAGTTTGTTTTAAAAGTTATTTTTATTTAAAAAATCTGTAATGACTCCCGAAGAAGCCGCTCAAGCTGTTGCACTTTACAATGATGGACGCAGCATACGTTATATTGCCAACTCACTAAATATTCCCCGAAGTACAGTGTCTGATGCAATTCAAAGGTTTAGGGAAACAGGTTCCTATTCAAGATTACCTGGACAAGGAAGACCGCGATCAACAAGTGAAGTTGAAGACTGTTTTCTTCGACTTCAAGTTCTGCGAGACCGGACACTTCCTGCTACAGCCTTGTCTAGGAGATTGGAAGATGTTCATGGTACAACCATTTCATCAGATACTGTACTAAGAAGACTGAGGGAACATAACTTAGTGCCCCATCGACCTGCCACTGGCCCACTGTTGGACGCAGCCCATCGTAGACAGTGCTTGGAATTTGCGCGAACCCATGTCGATTGGGGTATGGTTGAATGGAGTCGTGTTCTCTTTACGGATGAGTCCCGTTTCACCAGATACTCACCTGATGGTCGACAACACGTGTTTAGACGACCCGGAGAGCGATATATTCAGTGCTGCTTCTCTCCCAGAGTACAGTTTGGCGGTGGAGGTGTAATGGTTTGGGGAGGCATTTCTTTGGAGGCTCGTACGGCACTTGTAACGTTTCAAGGGGGTAGTATAAACGCTGACAGGTACATAAGGGAGTGTCTCGAAGAACATGTGGTACCTTATGCACCCTTTATTGGAGACCAATTCTTCCTTATATGCATAAATGCAGGATAATGCTCGGCCGCACACAGCCCAGGTAACGCGTCAGTACCTTCACGACGTTGGTATTCAGGTTCTGGGCTGGCCACCTAGAAGTCCTGACCTGAATCCCATTGAGCATGTGTGGGATAACCTAGGAAGAAGAATTAGGCAAAACTACGGGGAGTTTTACACACTGGTTCAATTGGAAGAAGCGCTATTGGTTGAATGGGAGCAGATACCTCACGGTGATGTGGCTGCTTTAATTCAAAGCATGCCTGAAAGTCTAAGAGCTGTCATTCGAGCTAGAGGTGGAAATACTCGCTATTAGGGCATTTTTTTGAATTTTTTCTGTTAAATAAAGGATATTAGTTTGTTTTATTTTTCAAAAATGTTTTTTTATAAATAATTAACAAATGTTTTTTTAATTTTTTCTGGTTAAAAATGTTTAATAATAAGGGATTTATTAAAAATAATTAAAATTTGTTTATATTTTCTTATTTATAAAATATATTTTTCCGAAAAACAAAGTGTCCGGTTAATTTTGCGGTCGAGTGTAGATTTTATTGAATAATTTTTCTGTTAAATCTGTGATTTAACAACCTGCTATGGAATCATGTATTCTTTTTGGGTTAAATAAATTTAAAAAAGAAAATAAATAAATAAATGCAATACTTAATTTAGGAATTTAAGAAAAAAAGACAAAACTCTACCACAAAACGTGCTTGGGCAACACAATAACTAAAAAAAATTGTTAGAAATTTCGCACTACTACGGCAATAAACAATTAAAAAAAAAACACCAAAAGCTACAAGTTACATATCCAGCTACTGAACTATCTATTGATGGTTTTCGGCATCAATACTGAGGACACGGGCAATGACAATAACGAACAAGACGAAGACCTCGACTAGGAAACTACACCCCTGCAGCGAAATAACAACTTCCCAACTCCAAATAGTAATCCCAAATGTTTGGAGTAATACTGATCGACTGGTCTAGGGGGATTCCGCGTCGTACTTAGTTTTAAGTCGGCGTAATTGTCCCCCAAAAACCAACAAACGTCTATCCCTCCCGTCCCTCCTCCTCTATACCCCTCCTGGGCGTATAGCAGCGGCTCGGCGAACCCGAGAATGGCTATTAAAACTATTCGCATGTCGCTCTCGAGCCCCAAATAGGGGACAGTACGGAACGCAATGGACATTCGCACCCAGCAAACACGGATGAAGCCGTACAGTTGCTGGGGGCGAACAAAAATCGGCGTAAGTAAACATAGGCCTGTACGGGGTCCGGGAGTGATGAGGCAATGGGGCTGGTTATACGTCTCTTATACTCATACTCATACAGGACTAAATTAATAATTTGCTATTAAAAGTGACTAGAATTCTAGTCACTTTTAATAGCAAATTATTAATTTAGTCCTGTCCTAACCTGTATTAATACATTTCAAGCATCTGAATTATTTTTAAAATATATTAACTGAAAAACCCGACGCCAGTTAGGGGGCGATTGAATATCTATTTTCATGTACAGCAAATTCCTTCCTCTTAAAAACAGAATGCTGCTTTGATGCGTCAGCTGTATACACCAAAAATGAAAATACAGTGTTTTAAACTGCAACTAAATATTTTAGTGACTTTTACTATAAATAATATGGTTTTAATATTTTTGACCCTAGAAGCCAAGGGGTATAAGTACATTTTGTTAAGTTTTGAGATAATCATGTTTAAAGTAAAAAACACTTGTAATTTGGTGTCAAAATTGCTTGTTTTTTTATGACTTTGTTTTTCAAGATGTCCAAGCTTAGAATTGGATACCAAGTAATTTACTATCTTTTTCTGTACATAACTACATTTTCTTTTAAATGTCACTTGTATTCCTTGGCTTTTAGGGTCCTCAATTATGATACTGAATTCAGGCTGATATGGATTAAACCATATTATTATTTATCATACTTTAATGCCCAGAATTAATTGAAAGTGCTTTCGCTATTGGTTTATTTTATACTTTAAAATGCACTTGCACTAAGAAAAAAGTTGTTACTTACCTTTTGGTGTAGCTTAAAGTACAAATTTACAAAATTTCATTTGGTATTTTTTTAGATTTGAAAGACTAGTAAAACTAGCTGGAAAACAACTAGCCCCGGTGGTCTACACACTAATCCTATATGTAGAAGAAACCCAAAAACAACAGGCAGAAAACACCCAAGGAAAAAAGAAAAGTGTAGACTCATCCACATTAAAAAGCAAAGTCCTAAGAGAAACCAGAATGATTCCCAAAGTAGTATATGAAATGGAACAATTCAGCAAAACTGTCACACAACTGTCCAACAAGACCAAAGTTGATTTAACAAGGTATGTTGGCCAGGGTATTGTTAGGGACTTCAGGATTTTAAAGTTGAAAGAAGTACTTGAGCGGGCTGAAACCAGCTTTGTTTCCACTCAACAAACTGATATAAACACCACAAATCAAGATGTTTCTATGGCGTCAGCTTCCAGCGACCAAGAACATGATTCTGAGGGAGAATCTTCTCCGCCTCCTTCAAAGAAAAATAAAAAATAAGTTACCCAAATGTTTGTGATAAATTTAATACGTTTTTAATAAAATAGTTAAAATTTCACCTACATGTATTTTCTTTAACTTACAGATACTTTGCAAAAAGGTAATTAAAAGTAATATTAATTATTGTATATAGTGTGTTAAAAGGTATTAGAAAGCATAAAATTAATTTAGCGAATATATTTTGGTAACGTTCCTATTCATTTCGTTTATTTAATAACACAGAAACAGTTTTAAAACCCTTTTCTAATTTTTTATGCACCAATTTGTAAAAACTCGGAGCACTTAGATAAAAACTGACATTACTTTCTCTAGATCATTTTGCGGTGCGTTAATATACTTATATATTTCTTTTGATTCTACATAAATTGTTCATTTTATAAGTATAATACCTATGTATTTGTGTTATTATTTTTAAGTATACATTTTATTTAAATGGTTTTATATTATAAATTGTAAACAAATAACCGGTAAGTAAAATTATTATACTTTAGTTTAACAATTATTGAAGCGCATTCGTGCATACCATGAATATTTTACATTTTTTGAACCATTAAAAAATAATTTTAAAACAAGTTTTGGCACTGAAATCTTTAAAAATTATGTTGAAATTTTAAGTTATGGCATGGCATTAATTGTTTAAAAAAAGGTACACAGAATAAATATAAATTTTTTAATTTTTTTCTTTAGGCTAGGTCCTAGTCCTAATATTGAACAGGGTGTCCTAAAAATGGCGCACTAACGTCAAATTACGTGAGGGGGGGTTAGTTATAATGATTTAAATTCAGATAGCTTTTAATTTAACAGTGTTAAATGCCTTGTTCATTTTGTCTTTTAACAACCTTTTTTATTAAATGCTTATTTTTTATACTTAAAATAACTCCATATCATGTTAGTGTGCCATTTTCGGGACAACCTGCATAATTAAATAGTGTAAAAATATAAGGTTACAAAATATTTTTTTGTAATTTTTAATACATAAAAAACCCCATCGTCATTTTAGAGATCCCCTGTATTCGGTAAATATCTACATTAATTAGTGTTGTTTTTTTGCACAAAATTAAGTAGTTTAATCCATTAATAATAATTATCTAACACATACAATTTTTAAATTATCAAATATATAAAATATGTATATATATATAATATTGACTATAATTCGTATTAAAAAGAAATGGTAATTGGGTTGTTAACTGTATATCTGTGACCTTTTCTAATTGCTTTAAAATGACATGTTTCTAAAAGAAAATGAAATTAAAACCAGCAGAGTTGATCAAGCGTTCCTGTAATAAGTAAACATTTCTTATTTTGATGTTTTTTGTAGAAAGCGCTTTTTATTAGGATAATAATAGGTGCCCAGATAAATTTTCTTGCATTATGTGCTTGGCTTCTATATTAAACAAAACTAAAATATAGTGACGTTATTTTTTATTTTAAGGGTACACTTTTATTAATTATGGTTAAAATAGAAAAACTTAAAGATGAGTTTTGTTCGAAAATTTATGGTGAGTACCTGCTTGTTAACACAAGTAAATTTTTAATAACTTTTCTTTAGATTTTTCCGCTGAAAATTTTATAGAAGAATTAATAACGAATGGAAATAAAATCAATTGTGATGAAACATCAACATCTTTTAATAAAAATATGGGTATACCTTGGTTTTACAACGAAAAATTGTTTAAGAGGTAACAAATTCTGAATTTTACAAAACTTTTCAACAACAATGATTTTTTAGTGGGCAAAAATTTTATCACAAACATATTTTTGCCATGTTTTTCTCAAAATTATTAGGACTTTTAGTGGCCCTAACAACGCCTTCAGTAATAGCAATATTAAAATTTACAAATCAGTCTTCGTCAAATTTGAAATCATATAAAAGGTACATGGAAACTATTTTTCATATGTGCATGTGGTATGATGAAGATTTCAAACCTGGGACAAAGTAGGGAAATACTACACCAAAATTTTCGAATTTATTTATTACAAATATTCTAGGAGTTGGAAGTCTCTTTTAGAAGTACGAAACAAGCATAAAATAGCCAGTAAGCGTTCTTGTGCCGCTGGGCTTAAAGGAATTACCCAGTACCAAATGGCTTTAACACAGTTTGGTTTTATGGGAATGGCTTTAACAAAAAAAGAAAATGTTGGAATACATGAAGCAACTGAGGAAGAATGGAAATCGTTTATACATGTTTGGAGGGTTTTTGGACATGTAATGGGAATTGAAGACAGGTAGGCACTACAAAATATAAATTATATGAAAGCCTAGTCATATTGGGAATAATTTTAGGTTTAATATATGTAGAGATTCAATAGAAGAAACAACAGAAATCTGCAAGTTGCTTATAGACAAAATTTTTGTGCCACAAATGAAAAATAAAAATACAGAGTTTATTGAAATGTCCAATTATTTACTAAATGGTTTGTGGTGTTTCAACCCAATATTGCATATTAAAGTGTTTTTAAATCTATTGTACCTTATTTTGTTAAGTAATAATACTCAAATAAGCATCAGATCCAAAGAATATTTTATATTAACCAAGTTAGAGCATTATTTTTTAAGGTTTATTGTTTTTGTGATAAATAATTTAAAATATTCTATACTAAGGGTGCTCCACAATTATATACACAGGCTTTCACTTCAAGTTATGCAATTTTTCCCTTTTCTAGCTTATTATAAATTTGGAAAAAAGAATTCCTGCCTTCAATTATTTAGCATAAAAACTTAAATCAATTTTTATTTAATTTGTTTCTGCAATTATAGTTGTTAAATAAAAGTAACGTGTTTTTTATTGTTTTATTTGTGAATACAGGTGGTCCCAAAAGTTGAGTACCAACTTGAAGGTGCCCCAGGAATCACAGAAAGTTCTTAAAAAATTCTACCTCCATTATTTAAAAAATATAAGAACGTAAACATTAAGTTTTAACTTTAAAATAGTAGGTTTACCTACATTTTTTAAAGATTAGGCCTTATCTACATAATGGTTTCATTAGGAATTAATGTTACCTAACGGTATGAGAAAATGTATTTTACGATTTTTACTTTACTTAACAATTTACAATACGAATGTGTTTTGGCAACATGATGACCCAATAATTGATTATCACAATTAATGGATTGTTATCCGTTGGCATCAACCCATTGACATGTAATCCTCTAGTGAGTATTGTGATATGTATCTTGTGTTTGGAGAATGCTTATTAAATGCAAAGGTCCTTCAGCCTGTGTGTGTGTCGGTGAAATATTTGTTTAGTTTTTTTTCATAACTTTAATCTGTTTTTAATAGTCACCATTGTAGTCACTGTCAGGGATTTACGCGTTAAATAAACAACCTCCAACTTAAAGTAACGAATTTTGACACAGTGTCTAATATTGTTGTTTGTTGTCATAACAATGTGCATACGCTATCACTACAGAATTTCTAGAATAATTTTGTGGGATTCCTCTCGGTCTGTAGATCCATAAACCTTTAAGTTGGTGAGCAACTTTTGAGACACACTGTATATGTTTCAAATGTTTTATAATATTTAATATATTTAAAGATATTAAAAAACTAATATTTTAATATTTTACCAATATGGAATCAGATATTTATTGACATAAGTCACGAGCCTAGACTAGGGTTTTGTTTTGTCTAGGGTCGCGAGATCAACTTAAAAAAAAATAACAGTACTTCAAAAATGTAGATTTTATTCTAGGTTAACAACCTGCTTTGGTTAATTAATGTTGTATTGTAACAGCAAAGTCGTCAAAAATGACCACTTTTCAGCAAAATAATCAAAAAGGGGCCATTTTTACCGACTTTTAAGCGCTGTATCTTCGTTACTGTTCGTTTAATTTGTACAAAATTTTCAGGGAATACTAACAAAAATATGGTCTTTAACAGCATATTTTTTGTTTACTTAAAAAAATACCCCAAAAGTTATTTTTCGAACGTTTTTTTAATTATTAAATAAAAGATCTTTAAAAATATTTTCTCGAAAAACCCTCGAACACGTAAACTGAGATATAAGTTGAAGTATTTTTATCCAAAATTTCATAAAGAATAATAAAGGCATTTTAGAGTTAGAGTTTTTTGGGTGACGTTCATAATATCGAAATTCACTTTATCGAATTCAAAATATCGAACACTTATTATCGAAAATCAAAATATCGAAAATACAAAATGTCGAAAATCAAAATATCGAAAATTAAAATGTCGAAAATGATAATATCGAAATTTTATTTAATCGAATTTTCAATTTATCGAAAATAAAATATCGACGTTCATAATATCGAAATTCACTTTATCGAATTCAAAATATCGAACACTTTTTATCGAAAATCAAAATATCGAAAATACAAAATGTCGAAAATTAAAACAAAATATTTTGTTTAAATATTTCAATTAATCGACATATTATTTTAATCCGAAGTGTATATGTACAGAGGCGCCTCTGATATAGAAATGTACTCAAACTCAACAACACAACCCAACCGACCCCGCCCCATTGGCCCCCCCCGCCCCATTGAGCAAAAAACCCAACTAAAATGGACTAATTTATGTAATTAAAAAGTGTTTTATTTTTATCGTAACATGAATTTGCCCATTTTAGTTGGGTTTTTTGCTCAATGGGGCGGGGTCGGTTGGGTTGTGTTGTTGAGTTTGAGTACATTTCTATAAAACGCGCATCTCTAGGAGCCAGGGAGCCAAGATAATTCGGTGCATAACCGTAACTTTATCTACAGAGGCGCCTCTGTACAGTTACGGAAAGAAGTAATGTCCATTTGAATGCTCCATTGTAATTGTTCGGAGGCATTCGGGTTTTGGTAATAAAATTAACATATCTATTTTTAAACTCAATAATTCTACCTACCTGCTATTTACCATTCTTTCTAGGCACATTTCATTTGACTTTTAAGCTTTTATGCAATAATTAAATATTTAAGGAATAACATTGATTCTGAAATACTTTAAATATAATATAATATATTATGTTCTATAACTTATTAAATAAACTATATATTATTTAATAAGTTGTTATTAATAAAATAATATATTTAAATGAAATATAGACATTTAATACTAAAATAATTATAAACTTTTGCATAATTTTGCAAATAAAATTGTTAATAACCCTCTTTAATGTATTTACCTTTTTATGTGATTTTTTGTTATCTGGGCAATATAAATTAAAATATTTATTCTTACTATGTAAATTAAACACATTAAAATTTTAAACTAAAATGCATTTTGTGCACTATTAATACGTTTTTCTACTTCTATTGCATATTATTGATATTTTTTGTTTTTTTTTGCGTAAATAATGGTAACCAATATAACCGCCCGGTCTATCAAAGTGAATTATATTTACTTTGTAGGTATCAGTGATTGGCTTATTTTAATATTCACTGATATTTGAAACAATCGGGTTTTAAATTAGAAAAAAGTAAGGTTGACAGATGTCAGATTTATTTATATATACGAGGGGCGACTATAATGATCTTTAAAATAGAAGAAAAGTGAGGTTATAATAAATAAATTTTGTTATCAATGAAAATTTCTTAATTGGAGTAGAACAAACATAGTATTACACTCGAAATAATGCGCATTATTTACTCGGATGAATTACGTCTCTCGCCTGACGGCTCGACATGCAAACCTTATCCTTTTGAATAATAGCCTGCATTATCTCTCGTATAATAATATACTATTATCAACATTTTAGTTTTCATTTCTTGTTTTATGAAATATCTGCCCAATACCAACTTATTTCAATGTATAAAAATCCAATAAAATATGGAAACGGCAAAAATTTATAATTATTATAATAATTGAACTTGGTATTCCCAAAGGGTCTAAGTGTCAAAAATAAAATTGTGTGAAATCAATGAAAATCCATTCATCTTTAAAATACAAAAATAATATGGAAAATATTTTTTTAGTCGTTTTGCATGGCACATAGACTATTTTTAAATGATAATATAATATTTGACCAAATTGGGTCCAAACCCTTTGGGAATGCCATGCTTCAATTATAATTATTAATGTAATTATTTACCATTACTTTTTAAATAAAAAGGCAGCTTTTTTTGCTTATGGTTTTAGATAATATTTTCCTAAAAAAGGGTCCTACTAAATTTTACCACAAATTTTGTTTTGCTGAAAAAGTTTGAAAATCTTGAAAATTTCTATAAATTCAACTTTTACCTTAAATACCTTTTAAAAGAGCCCTACCAAAATACAATTTTAAAGTATTTTAAAAAATCTCATATTATTATAATGGGAAATAAAAATTCCCGATGAGGGACCTGTAAATGTAATATTAAGAGCTTGCATTTTAACAGGACCATTTTTTGGTATTTATACTTATAAGTCTAATAATTATATAATATTTTTTATCAAATATTTAATAATTTGTCCTACGTTTAAAATATTAATATGAAATTAAATTAAAATACTTTTTAACATTTTAGTCCGGAAGAACTTCGGCTATAAAATTTATTACCTACTTTTATGATATAATTTATATATTTTCTGTTTATACATCTATAGGTATTGTAATCTTTTCTTATTAAGCCGGATGAGGATTAGCCCTTTCGGCAAGTATTAACTTATACCTATAATTATGCCTAAATACGCGACGTGTGCGCCGATGATAATTTTAATGGAGCCGGAGTATATTATTATAACTTTAAAGAATAAATATTTTATAATTTTTTACACATTAACCTACATATAATAAAAGAGCAATAAATAAATATGAAGAAATATATAATATATATTTTATAGTTTTATAATATTTATATATTTATATAATATATATTTTATAATTTTATAGCTATTTATGTTTATATGTTTTATAGTTTTTATATGTAAGTTACCCTGGTAGAAAATAACGTTTGCATACATTCAGACAACGTTGCAAATTTGTATAATAATTTGTTATACTCATAACGTTGTCTTAGTGTATCATTTTAAGTGGAAAATACGTAGTTAAAACGTTGTCTTGGAAACGTTATTTTAATGTATGATTTTAAGTGGGAAATACGTAGTTAAAACGTTGTCTTGGAAACGTTGCAGAATTGTATTGCTGGAAACGTTGCAGCAACGTTCCAAATCCCACGTTTAGATACATAAAATTATTTCTAAGTCCCAAAGAAAATCTTTCAATGAGGATTTTTTTTTAAATTTTTATACTTTATTATACATTATTTATAAAAGTAAAATAAAACTCTTCAATTCATTTTCAAAG